GGCCGGGGGAGGAGCCGCGGCGCGGGCTGGAGAGACCCTGCCCGGGGCGGGCCGCTGCCAGACAGGGCTTCCCCTCGGCTGCATCCCAGACCTGGCCGGCCACCTCCGCACCGCAGGTCGTGCTCTCCCGTCCGAGCAGGGCTTGGCCCGCCCCGGATATTGCAGGACTGCGAGGAAGATGTGGAGAAGCCTACTCTGCTCTCGGAGTCTGCTTTAGAAAGCGATACCCAGCCACACCCTTGCCCCTGCTCTCTCAAAAAGCAAGGTGGGAAGGAGTTAACCTAGCTGCCTTGCCAGGCTGCAGGCATCATCAAACCACAGAGGCATGGACACCACTGGCAGATCTTGAGTGGACCTTGAAATTAATTGCATTATAAAGGAAAACAGAACTGAGGCAGTCAACCTGCTCGGTCAAGACAGAGCTAGAGCACTCCCTACCCAAGCCTGCAGCTCAGGAAACCTTGCCAGGAGCACTCTTGCCTTTAGGGAATCCTGCTGGGAGTTACTGAATGCAGACAGGCACAGGTGTCTGGAGCCCAAACTCCCATCTCTAGGGAAGGGAAGGAGGAATAATGGAAGGAGCCCAAGATTAATACCACTTCTGAAAGGTGTTCTTTCCATACTAGAAAAGCAAAAAGGAGTGCAGTAGGGGGGCACTAGCCCATAGCATTGTTGCAAGGAGGAATTGGTGGAGCATCAATCACTAAGAAATCAGACATCTCTGATGAGCAGTGAAGTCGTTACTCACTGTAGAGTAGAGCAGTGCAGAGACCTTTGCTATTTCTGTCCTGTTCTCCCCCTCTGCAGCACAGCACTGATAGAAGAACAGTTCCAGGAAGAAACCAAGCTCCAAGTTTCTTGTAGCCCTTAAAATACCATGGGACGTGAGAGCAGGCTTGTTAGGAGCCCTGTCCAGGCCTAATTCCAACACTTCCCCACGTCAAGTCAATGCCCTCCTCCCCAGCAAGCATCAGCAGAGCAGAGGCAATGCAGCCAAGAAAGCCATGTTTCTATCTAAGAAGTATAGCAAGGAGGTCCCAAAGTAAGAGGTGACAGAAGTGTGAACACTTCTAGCCAGAGGGAAGTGTTTTGGCAAAGTGTGTTGTTGCTGCAGAGACAAATCATCTGGGTACTGTTAGTCATCTGCCAAGAGATTTCTAATGTTGCATAGGGCAGCCAAGCCAGAGGACTGGAGGTTCACAAAGGACCTGAAAGCAAGCTCATATGGCCACAGAGCAAGCCAAGAGGGAACTGCAGCTGTCCAAATAGAAAGTACACATTAGTTTACCCCAGCTCACTGAAGGTTTGTTAGCTAGCACACCACTGCCTGCTTAGTGCCTGCAATAGCCTGTTTCACAGCAAGGACAATACCTGCCAGTGGAGGCAAAGATGACAGGCCTCCACATGTGCTTTCTTTCTTGAAGTAGCTTTATGCAAATGTCAGCAGGTGTGAGAAATTCAATGCATGTTGCCTGTGCTTTTGCTAAATGGAAAGTCTTAAAATTATGCCATTATCTTTCATCTATGCACAGGTACAGTTCTAAGCCACAGCACTAGGGAAGTTGGGAAGTCCTGCTTTTCTTCTAAAGAAGTGCCCCTTTTAGCAGGTTCTCCAGCTGTGCAGTTAAGCAACCATGCTTTGCTCCTCTTTGGAGGTAACTACTTAATATCATTTTCATTTAGTGAAGACATAAAGAGTGATGTTATGATACACAGTGACACTTATCACTTAAAATCAACCTAGCAGTCACATGTCAGTTAAGTCTTCTGCAAAATACAATTCCACAGGAATAATGCTAGTTGATGCTCCTTTCCCTATAGTAATAAACGATAAAGAACGTTGGGTCCCGTTCAAAGAACACTTATGACTCCAGTAAGTGGCATTTTCAACTCAATTTAAAAACTGCCCATTTCTTGCTCATTTTTTTCTTGAAGTTAATCTTAGATGATACTACAGCCAGACAACTTTGCACATGTTCTCCCCAAAACCTCAGCTGAGCAAACCAAACTGATTGGGAACCTGGATGACTTGCATTACACACTCTACTACCAGGCTTTGAGGAACTGAGACTTTGAGGAGGTCACATTCCAATTATCTGCTGTCTTCACCCATACTACTTTCAACTCAGAGTGGTAATAAGAGAACCAACATTGCACACTATTTGCTATCTGGAATGCTAAGTTTCTTTTGATGGCCTAAAACATTACTGATCCCACTTATAGCAAATGCAAGAACAGTGTCAGAGGCAAAGGAAAGGAATCATCTGGTGGGATGTGAATTTGGTTCTCAGCCCTAAGACCTCACCAGCTATAAACACTTTATCTGACTAACAGACTCAAGTTCAGTCAACATTTCCAAATACTAGTCTTAGGATCAGCAACTAGAGGCAGGGGGGGCAGGGGGGAAGAAAGAGTTTCAGTCCCTGTTAGGTTGATTGCTGCCAAACGAGAGGCCTGTTTACAGATGCAGAAGAGCATAAATCCATTTTCTTGTGCATGGAGGTGCTTGAAGTGGACCAGCCCCCAGGCAGCCAGATACTAACTGATCCTCTCTCCATAGCTGGCAATACTAACAGGATAAAGACCAAAACTTGCATTCCAAACGCCACCAAGAGACCATCACAATTCCACACCAGTTCCTGGTTTTATTTTCCTCAGATACTGTTACAGACTTGGGGCACAAAGAAGTGAAACATAACACTACTAAGGATTAGTCTTCAAACATTGTATCCAATCAGGCTGCCTCTGCCTATGATCTCACCGATGTAAAACCACATCAGCACCTCTGTGGCCACCAAACCGTTCCTCACAGCTTCCTGAAAAAAAGAAAGCCACAATTTAGAACATTTGCTACTGCAATAACACCACTCCCTTTGCCTCGTTAGCATACACAAAGTTCAACTGCAAGGGCAAAAAAAGCTACCAAGGGCAGGAGATGGGATTCTTGGTTTTAGCTAAACATTCTGTGCCTGAGTTTAATCCCCCTCCCACAAAAACATCACATTACCTATTTGTCAGGGCATTCAAATACATTAGCCTTTTCTTTGAGCTGTTGGAGCCCCATCCAGCAATGTTAGATTTATTCCAAGCTGCTGGGCAGCTACGCCATTCATGTAAGTGAGCACTGAGGAAAACCTCGCTGCCAAAAATGCACCCATGTTCCAGACACAGAAGGGTTAAAAGATGAAAAGCTCACACATTAAAAATGCTTTTCAACTCTTGACCTATAGTGTCTCCTAGAGTTGTAAGCCTTAATCACTGAAGCTCAATTGTTTTTCATGGCACAAGCAAAGCATATTAAGTTAGCACGCCAGTGGTTAAACAAGATCCTGGAAAATATTACTCTGTACACTAAATACCTGTGGCTTTTAGCCTACATTCACCAGACTCAAGAAATACATGCAGCAGATGTGCTATGTTTTAGGATGGCAAGTTTAGACCTTCACTTTTTGGCTCTTTCAGAAGCTATTAAGACCAGTTTTTGCATTTTAAATGACCTTGTGAAGTCTGACACCATAACAAAATGATAAGGTTTCAAAATGCAGGATGCACCATCAGGAAAAAAAACCTCACGCTTGAAGAACATTTGGAACTGGTCATCTGAAGTTCAAGTTTTTTCTAATAAGATCCGTCTCATTTATGTACATAATGTTAACAAGTTTACTAATGAATTGTTCCGTGTAGACCAGGAAAAGGGCATTCTAGTTGGAAAGCAGGCCTAGAATTCACCAACTTGCTGGGAACCACACTGCATATTGCTTTAAACAGTTCCTTTGGGGCAGCACCCAGAGGTCAATCACTGCTGTGCAGGGCACTAGACAAAGGTGGAGACATCATTCTCTACCCCCTCTATTTCACGTGCATAGCAGTTAATCCGAGGAGAGAACGACACAACGGAACCAAAAGCAGCATAATCAGTGAGGCCAGGAGAAATACTTTTTCCATCCAATTCACAGCTGGCCAGTGGAGTTTGCAGACACCACATGGCAAAGAGTGTAACAGGATGCAAAAACGGGAGGAGGGCATGCATACATATTTACAAGACTATAGAAAAGGAAACAAGTGCTCTTGCAAAGTAAATCTGTAATAAGAATGAGAGGAAAAACGTCAGGGGTCTGTGTCCTGGTGTAACTCATCAGGAAACTGACTGCAGCGCTTCTCACACCTTCCTCTGAAACATCTGGTATTTGCTACCACCAGCAACAGTAACTGGATTAGATGGACAGCTAGTTTTACAGCCTGGCAAGTCCTTAGGAAATATGTCGCTACATAATTTATGAATTCTGATATGAAATCCTGCATCACTGACTACTTCAAGGCATACAGAATTCACCACATGCGGTCAGTGCTGTGCCACATCCCTCCCAGAACAAGAGGCACGTTATCATTAACCCTTAATGGCCATGCGTTCAGGTGAAGGAATTTGAATGTCACATACGCTACACGGCTACTGAGCTTGGCCAAACTAGAAAAAATGCCTTGCAGTTTGACCAAAGGCCTCTGCAGGGCAACAAGGAAAGCAACAAAACCACTAAACCAGGACCGAGGGACAGAGATGACAAAAAAGCCATTTAGAAGGAGAGACTCAACCACAGGAAGTATTTGGCAGGAGAGAGAGAAAGATGATGTGCAGACTTTTGAAGCGGTAAGCATGATTTTATTGCAGGAGCAGCCAACATCAAGACCAGCTGACCTGGAGCAGAGGAAAAGTGCCTCTATTATTTAGAAGACGAACCACGACCTGCAGGAGGAGAATCCTGAACCCTCATAGAGGTATCTGCCCCACACCCACAGAAGTCTTTAGAGTCATTACGAACCTGAGGCAGGGAAATGCATATATGCGTTTATTATTTTATGCAGATCAGTATTTCTCCAGCTACCTAAATAATGTCATTTCAGATTCCTGTGCAAAATCTATATTTTTACCTATCCCAGGTCATAGGAATGTGGATCCCAGACAAAGGAACTTCATTTCAAGTATGGGTCTAAGAACCCCAAGCCACAGGTAGGGCTTGAATAGTGTTCAGACACCACAAACTCAAAGCACACCCTGCTCTTCTTCACTGCACTCAGGAAGGGAGCATTGATTTAAACAAACCAACCAACCACAAGTTTTTCCTTCCAGATCAATCTCTTGAAGCAGCTGTTAGTCATCTCTCATCCCATATCCCTCAGCTCCTCTCTACATAGTGCTGGCCATGCTAGTATTTTTTATCAACCCCCCCCCCCAATAAATGCATTCAGAATCCCCTTTAACAGTTAGACACCTGCAGACCCCAAACATGGCAGGGGGAGGGGGAAAGACATCTCGCCACGTTCAAACCTTGTGTGAAAGTTCACTAGAGAAGAATTCATCATATTCGAAAGCAAAAAACTGAGACTGGACAAACGCATCTACTGTCCCAGAACGAGCCCAGCAAGAGCCTAAAGCTTAGAGGCGATAAGGGTCTAATATGTTTTTTTGAGTTTTGTTTAGATTAAAGTTACACAAGCAACTCTGTGGGTTAATCAAACGGTGGGCTGCCTTTTATACTGCTAATATGTAAACCAGCCAGAAAATGTGTTAACCAAAATGGCTGAAGAAACCCCAGAGGAAGCACACTTCTGTTATTCACATCCATTCTCAGTTAGCCTGCAGTTACCTTGACTGTGAGCTGTGCCAGGCGACCGGACTGAAAGCTTTTGACCAGAGCTCTCATGCTGTCAATAGCCTTGGGGATCTCAGCAGGGGTTGGAGGAACCAGCTCAACTCTGGCATAGTACCAAAATGTGGCCAAACGAGGCCTCGAATAAGTCACAGCAGCTGGAAAAGAAAAATACCAGGATGAACTCACTGGAGACTGAAAGAAACAGATGTGTGGGCTGGACACAAGTGTTTATTCGTGCGTTTGTATTCATCTACCGCATATGCTATGCGCGTGCCCTGGCCTGCCTTCGTTAATTTAAGAAACACTCTACTAACTCAGAATGTAACACTAAAGATTCATATGTCTACGTCACCAAGAAGTTCAGCCATTCACGAAGCCTATATGAAGAACCCATTATGCTAAGACCTCAATTACCATCTAGCTTCATTTGCTGGTTTGTTAACTGTCAACTCGGTTAACTGAAGTTTACTAAACTGCCTGATAACAGTTAGTATAAAAGGGGAAGGAGACAAAACATTAAGTGTCCTTTACCAGAAGGCACAACTGTGAACTTTTAATGGAGGGAAGAGTCCTGGTGGGAAGGAGAAGAAAGAAAACCAAAAACCCACCGACAAGAACTAAAACAAAGATAGATAATCAGCTCTTACAGCGCTAAAGAGTCTCAGGCCTCCACTTGACCAGCATCAATCCTTAGCTGTTAGACTTGGCCTAGCTACATCACTGCCACAACCTGTTGAGATACTACCACACCAAGGAGAAGTGTCCCCCCCCCGGCCCGGCAGCAGCAGAAGTGGTCTCATGAAACATTTGGGACCAGACGCAAACAGAAAAGCTGATCACAATTCTGCCGTACGCTGCATCCGAGACGCTGCCCCTGCACAGACAGCTGCCGCCAGTACACCCTTCTCTGCAAACACACGAACAAGCTTCAGCTTCTGCGGCCAAATATCAGTCTCTGTGAATACAAGGGATTGAAACCAGGAGGGAATTCCTGCACCGCGTCGATTACCCGAACCCCCACCACAACAGGAGCCAGTTGGTGTTCGAGAAGGTGGATGTCATCTTCCGGTCCGTCTGGCTTTGGCATTACTGGCCCTAGGCCTGGTGTACGCCGGTCTCTAAACTAACACGATAACCTGCCCGCAATGGGACACGTACACTGCGAGGCGAGACGGGAACGACGCCACCCCTCCCCAGCGCGACAACCCCGACCCCTGCGCCATCGACTCGCTGCACAAGGGAGCCCCCAGTCACCGCCCGCCCGCCCGCGGAAAGCCCCTCCGCCGAGTCCCACAAAGTCAGACTTCGGGACAGTTAACCCCAGCTGCTCTGCTTTTTCAGGTGCGGTTAGCCCAGCCCCACGCCTGTAGCATTCAAAGAGGCGGATGCCTTCAAACCATCCGACTGGCTCCATGGGCAGCCCAGACGCGCTGCCCTCCTCCAGCGAGGCCACGCAGTGGGATGACGCTCCGCCGAGGGAGCAGGTGACGCCGCACCGCACCGCACCAGCGCCTGAGGGGCCGTGGCCATCGCAGCTGCAGACACGCGC